GGTCCGACCTGGCTGACTGCTCCTCCCAGCAGATGTCCAGGTAATTTAGATCACCCATGACAATTACATCCCTTGCCTTAAGTGCCTCTGCAAGCTGGCCTGAAAATACCTGGTCCAGCTCCTCCCCTTGGTTGCGGGGTCTGTAGTAGACCCCCACCATTAAATCCCTCTCCCCACGACCCCCTTGTATCTTGACCCAGAGCACTTCAGCTTGCCCCTCCTGTGACCCCATTTTGCTGGCAGAGTATGTGTATTGCTCTTTGACATAGAGCACCACACCCCCTCCCTTCCTTCCTTCTCTATCCCACCTGTAAAGCCTATAGCCCCTAATGCTAACTGCCCAGTCATGGGATGAATCCCACCACGTTTCTGTAAGCCCTACTATGTCTGGGTTTGAACTGGCTATTCTGAGGGCGAGTTCCTCCTGTTTGTTCCCCATACTACGAGCATTGGTATACAGGCATTTAAGGCCTTGCATAGCTGCGCGTGCCACCCCCTGATTAGGAAGACTATTTGGACCCCTGTTTCTTACCTGGGCACTCCTTGCATGTGTCACCTGTCTTGCTCAGGTGGTGTCTCCACGTCTTCCTGCAGCCCCCTCCCCTGGCGAGGCTAGTTTAAAGCTCGCTGTACGAGATCAGCCAACCTGGAAGAGAAGACACGCTTGCCTTTAGGAGAGAGGTGAAGTCCATCCTGCCCCAACAAGTCCCCCGCCTGAAAGCATGGGTCATTATCTAGGAACCCAAGGCCCACCTGGTGGCACCAACTCCATAAGCGCCTGTTGACCTCACCAATGCAGGCCTCATGTCGCTGTCCCCGCCTACTCACCAGAAGAAGAGAGGAGAATACCACCTGCACCCCCGTCTCCTTAAGCTTGGCCCCCAGAGCCTTGAAGTCCTTCATAATGCAGTTAGGGTTGCCCCTGGCCACGTCATTCATTCCCATGTGGATGACAACCATGGGGTACTGGTCTGCAGGTCGGATGTGGGCCGGGATCCTCTCCGTGATGTCCCAAATCCGAGCCCCAGGCATGAATCAGACCTCCCTCGTCATGGGGTCAGGCCGGCAGATGGGACCTTCCAGTCCTTGTAGGATGGAGACTCTGATGACGAGGATGCGGCTTTTCTTCCTGCTGGTGTTCGTTCTCTGCCCATTCCATGTCGTGTGGGGAGTGGCATCATCCCCATCAGAGGCATTTGCTCTGTCTTTCTCCATCACAGCTGCCAGGGCCTCAAACCTGTTCCCTGTTGCTTAATTGTGGTGGCCATTTTAGAGCTCTGGCTGCCCATAAAATCAGGGCATTTTGGCTGGTAGCAGCATCATCACCTGGCTGTGAGTCTTCATGGAACACTGGAGGTAAGGGAGGAGCTGTAGGGGATGGTCAGGAGGCTCCTGGTCCTGGGCATGACCTAAAACTGCACCTTGCCAGGAGTGGGTGGCCCGGTGGTGCGGGAGCCCCCAGGAAATGTCAGGCCAGTTACCACCCCAGTGAAAGGTGGATTGGGGTGCCTTAACTTCAGCTCCCACAACTGGGTGGGTTACCCCCTTATAGTGTCTGGCAGGTGGACCCCAGTGAGAGAGTGGGGCCATAGACTCAGAAACCTGTCTTAAAATCCCCCTACTGGTCAATGCTGGGGCCAAAACCAGAAGGGTCAAAGGGCTAGGGGCCCATGACAAGGGATGCCCAGAGCTGAGGGCCTGGGGTTCCAACTGGCATGGAGGTGAGGCCAGGGCCAGTGTAGCCAAAGGTCCCAGAGGGACCACATCCATAAAGGGAAACAGCTCAGGGAGCTCTGCAGCCTAGAATGAAGGTGGAATAGGCTGCCTGAATGGAGGGATACAGGTGGTGTTCAAATAGTAGGATTCTGAGGCCCAGAGTGGGACCAGTTGTGTTGACAACAGAGGATGCCATCTGTGAGGCATGGACTGTGGTGTAGGGGAGGTACAGAGCCGCAGATAGCACCCCCTGGCATCGGGGCAAGAAAATGGGCAGCCTCCTGCTTATTAAGATCATTAATTAATTAACATCAAGGTGTGGTGGTTGAGAAGGCAGGTGGTTGGCCCAGAGTAGGCCCCCTGTTACACCTACACATAAATCTGGGAGCCTGTTCCTGAAGATGTTCCAAACAAAAACAAAGAAGGCACTATAAAGTATTTTTCAGTATGACATGTAAGAAACTCAGCTTGTTCATATCTACCGTGCCCAAGCCTGCAGATCTCTAGACTATTGATTCCTTTTTTAACCTACCTCCATCATCAACTATCTCTTCCTACAGTGAAGACCCTAAAGATATTTCATAGCAGATATAACTACACAGGCACAGTTATAGTTATGAGTGTCTGTGCATCTTCTTTATAATGGTCTTTTCACAGATATCTTTTGACATGTAAGACTATTCTAACTTCAGGTATAACCTACCCATTTTTGTTCCACATGAGATAAAACAAGTATAAATGTTGGCTTCAGAGTTGTGGGGCTTAACCAACCTGTTATCCCCTCCGTTCACCTGAGATGATTGCTGAATGCATCCTCGGTTACTGTGACTACCTGGGGATTGAATGGAGGAGAAAGGTGAAATCAAATTATGACAGGACGTTTATAGACCTGGATTCTGTCATGAAGAAAATGGGGGCTGCCTGTACTAACTTTGATGGGAGGTGCTTAGAGTTGAAGCTGGCCTATGGTATCTTCACCTCTATTAAATGGCCAACAAAAATCAGCCAAAGCTAGATGTCATGCATCACCTGGTCATAGAAGGAAAGGAGGTTGGTCAGGCAAGACCTACCTACAACAAAGCCATGTTGGCTATCTCTCAAAGTTGTCTTCCATTAACCTGTTGTTGATGGTTTTGATTTTTTTTTCCCCATGATCTTTCCAGGGATTGAGGTCCAACTGATTGGGCTGTAGCTCCCTGGATCTTCCTTCCTCCCTTTCTTGAAGATAGGCACCACATTGGCCCTCTTCTAATCTTCAAGAACCTCTCCTGAGTGCCATGAGTTCTCAAATATCCTTGCCACTGGTCATGCTATGATGTCAGCCAACTGTTTTAGCACCCTTGGGTGCATTCCATCTGGACCAGATGACTTCTGGATGTCCAGCCTCTCAAGCTGTTCCCTCACAAGATCTTCACCAATTATAGGTGTTCCCCACCCAGCTCCATACTCATGTAGCTGAGCAGAGAACAAGTTCCCCAGCCTGTTCCCCACCTGCTCCACATTCGCAGAACTGAGCAAGCAACAAGCTCACCATCCTCTTCCCAGAATGCAGGGGCTGAGAACTGTCCTGATATGGGGCAGGTCCCAGCCCCATGTCCCAATCAGGTGATCAAGGCACGGGACTTGGAAAGAGCTGCAGGAGTGGGGTAGGTCCCAGTCCCCTGCCCTGATCTGTCAATGGGGCAGCTAGCAGCAAACTGGCTGCTGGAGCTTCCTCACCAGCTGATTGGTGCAGGAGGCTGAGACCAGCCCCTCCCCTGCAGCTTTTTCCAAGTCCCCTGCCCCTGATCAGAGAGCCAGGGCCAGGAGTTCCCTGCTGCTGGGGCAAAGACACATTGTCCCTGCAGCCCCCTGGACCCAGGAGACAGCTGTCTCTTGGCCCAATGCTGCCTGCCAGCCCCTGGGCTAGCACCTAGGGGGAGCTTAGAGCTCCCCACAGTGGCAGTAGGGGTTCATTGCAGGGCCCCAGGAAGTGGGAGCAGCTCGCTGCCATTGGCAGCAAATCTGCTCCTGCTTCCCTGCACTTGGAGACACCTGCCTAGGACCATTTACTCATGGGTAGTTAACACATTATTATTTCTGTAGGATTCTAGGTAGCAACACACAACTCAATTGTTATTAAAAAGCAAGCAATCAGTTGTTACTTTTAGCTGCCGTTACACAATTTTCCAAAATTATTCATTGTTGCGTTAGTTTATTATTAATAGCTTCCATAAATAGATTCTTATTCTACTTTCCAGGCTCCTGTTTGTGACTTAAATGTAACCTTTAGAGGTGCACTGCTACATCGGTCCATATCGTATCAGCACTGCTAGAACAAAAATTGATGTTTTTTTGGACTGATGTGGCTGAAAATGTCACTGATAAATGCTGTGTGCGTGCATGCTGTATATATGCTGTATGCAGTCAGGTGTGCAGCGCGACAGCTTAGAGAGCAGGCTCTGGCCAGTAAGTCTGTGGGAAAGAAGGTGCATGGGAGAAGGAAGGGGCATGTAGGGGCAACCTGGCACTGTCTCCAGCCCTGAGAGCGTAGTGGGCATGCCTTCCCATGCCTTCCCTGGGGGTGTATGCATCAGTGGGAGCTGCCCCCACCCCCACCCGATGAGCTGCTCGTGGCTCTGTTCCATGCCCTGCCCCACCCCAGCTGTGCAGTGCCTGCCCCTGCCCCTGCTTTATCCCCAACCCCATTCCCTCCCTCACCCCTGGGAGCCTCAATCTGCCCCATCCCCTGACAGAATTACTAGCCTGACTCTGATCTCCAAGCTGCCGGACTGCATATCAGGAATCCGATCGGTATCAACCGATATGGCTAATTAATAATCAGCCATTGGTATTGGCCCAAAAAATCTTTATTGGTACACTCCTAGTAGCCTTGTTGATTAGTGATTGTGTACCAGCTTAAGCACGTATCATTTATAACTCAGGATATGTACAGATGTGCCCTATGTGCATTTTACAGTGCTGTCATTTAGAGCATTTTTATATCACTTTAAAGTTACAGCACTCTTAAACATGACAGAAGTACAGTGTTTGGTGTGGGGGGCTCTGAGCCTCCCTGAGCTTTCCAGGCTAAACAGCAGGAGGTGTGCTGCAGCTTTCTGGGGCTGCAGGAGACTGTATACAGCAACAGACCAGGTGAACTGGAGAAGGTGGAGCTGAGAAGAGAGGCTGTGAATCAGCTTCTCATTTGCTCCCCCACCCCTGTTCAGTTCTGGGAGCTGTAGGCAGGCTCCAGGGAACCCTGGCAGCTTTCCCTGTTTCAGCCTGTTCAGCTTTCCCTGCTCCTGGAACCACCTAGGGGGTCTCACCTGCTAGAACTCCCCTCGCCAATGGTGAAAGCCACCAGCAGGGGCACAGAGAGGGAAAGCGGGGCAGGCAGAAGCTTGGAAACTGGCAGAAACTTGGAAAACATACCAGAGATACCTGAAAGTCTTGAAATGTTACTCTCAGCAGTGTTTTCAGAAAAATTTCCATATCAAGCTGAAAGATGGAAAAAGGAATGCCAGCATTCTGGCTCAAGCAAACACCATCAGCATTGAAGCCATGTTTATATGATACCACCTCCACTGGACAGGATATATATCACAAAGATACTTGACAACCAGCTCCCAAAACAGATTCTGTACGCCTAACTTACTGAAGGTTACTACTCTAGGGGTGAGCAAAAGAAGAGATGCAAGAATACTTTGAAGGCCAATCTGAAGAAATGCAGTACTAACATCAATACACAGGAGCCTTAAGTACTGAAACATCCTTATTGGTGCCATGATATAAGACAAGGCATTGATCATTTTGAGCCAACTCACTTCACTAGAGGTGGATAAATGAGAGAGACAAAAGGAAAGAGTTGTGACTGGACACCACCAAGATCTCCTCTTTCCTCCCAGAACCATCTGCCACATCTGCAGGCAAACATATAGATCTCAGATCAGCCTCCTCAGTCATCTCTGGACTCACCGATGACTTCCTTATTTACTTCCTTATTTATTGGAAGGCTGTAATCCTCATTCATATTGAATAAGGACTTGGAGAACAAGACCAATGAAAGGAGAGAGATGAAATTGTCTGTAGAAAAAAGGGGGGAGGGGGGAGAGGAAGATCTTCAACTGCAGCCACTTGTAGATCCAGGAGATTGGCTTTACTCTTCCCCCAAGTCCCCCTTCCCCCTCCCCCCTGCCCCCCCACAATTCCTGGTGAATCAAAGAGGTCAGAGGAAAATTAGCCCCAGAGATCCACCAAACTGAAAAATCATTATTTGCACAACTCTAGCAGTGGGATGCTACTAATATCATTTATCTAGTACAACCTATGGCATAATCTTCACAGCTAAGATATCTTACATTCTATTTGCACCTTCTTCACTAGTCAAGCAAGGTAATGCTAATGGAAGAAATTGGCTTGTATTGCATCATAAATCATTTAAAAAAACATTTTCTTTGCTTGTCAGGTTGATCCAAACAAAGGAAGCAAAGATCCTCCCATAATTGTAAGTATTGCTCCTCCCATACTAATTTCCAGTTATGGGCTGGCATTGTGTTCAAACTATCACAGGGTTATTATTCCTAACACACAAAGGGTTTGATGTTAATACTACAAAACTGAACATGCAATGCTCTATCTGTATTCACAAGTTTCTTAAATATATAACATTTTAGGCTTAAGGGATAATCAATAGTTTTGTAACTGGATGCTCTAGGACAAATCATGTGCTTTAGTCAAAGGTAGAACTTTCCGCAACAAAAAAAGGCTGTTTTATGGGCATAATTTGACACATCAATTTCTATGAAAGATGGCAAGCTTCCTTTTTCTTTTTCTTCTTCACATCAATTTAAGTAAATCTAAGAAAACACTGAGTGCTTGAGAAACTTTTGAATGCTTTTGAGTGAGGTTTAAATAAGGACCATAACCATCCTTTGTAGAACAATCTGCCCTATGACCCCACCTCAGTCCAGAAAATATATGAGAAGGCAGGGTAGATTTCCACCTTACAGAATAATCAAAGTGTGTGTGTGTGTGTGTGTATCACACACACACACAGATATCACAAGGTTTCATGAGCTGTAGTTCACTTAACAGATGCCATGATAGTATGTTAACCATTTGATGGCCTTGAGCAATAATGTGTGACAGACAGTGAAGAGCATTGGGAAGGTATAGAAAGTTTACTCTTCTCAATATCACCTAACCCTGTAAACCTCTGATAAAACAAACTGATAGAAATACATCTCCCTTTTCAACTTTTGTTAAAGAGCTATTAGCAAGCAAGGGGAACAAGAAGTCTCCTTAGAGCACAAGAATTAAAATGAAGGTTGTGACCTTTCAAATTTTAATGGCGGAAATATCTTCCAAAAAGAAAACTGTCAGTGGAGGGATGGGCTAATTTATTAAGGGATAGTTCTGGAAGAAACTTGGCATTTAGCCATACTCTTTTTACACCATGGAATAACAATGCTCTTCATATAAAGCTCAGATCAGTAAATGCAAACTTGCACATTATTAACATCTGTGCAGAGATTGAGTATTTTTGTTCCCTATAATTGTTTTGGTTTTAGGTAGACCAGGAAACCTACACATTTGAAAACTTCAATGTGAAGAAAAAATACCTCCTGCAAATCAGAGCCCATTCAAATGCGTGTCTCTTAAGCGAAAAATGGGGGGAGTGGAGCAAACCAGTTGAGTTTGGTAAGAATGAAAGACTGCATGTTCTTAACTTAATTTTATCCCAGTAGTCCCCTATCTACCTCACTTGCCATCTTGCATTCACAGAAACACAGATATATTAATTCTGTTCAGCCATTTCTTCTTTCCAGTTGGTAATGAAGAGAGAGGATAGGTTTGTCTTGTAGTACTGGGGCAGCTTTTGTATAGTAGGAGAAGGGAAGCCAATATAAGAACACAAATGGTTATGACCAGGGATCTGGGTTTACTCTGAGAAAAAAAATCCCAAATTTTCTGATTTAAAAAATAACAAACCCAAAATCCACATGTTTCTGAGACTAAAATGAAGTACCACTAAATGTGTGTGTACAATGCTTACTGAAACAACCAATCACAGTGCTCCAGACAGACAGAAAGAGTGTTATTATTATAGATCCTAAGGCATTTCAAACAGATATACAAGCAAGTCAGAGCTAGAATGAACCACCGGGCCCCCCAGCACTGCTGAAGGGTGGGGAAAAAAAAAGTGGTGAGGGGCCCAATCCCTTTTTTTTAATTTTCCCCAGAGCCTGCCCGCCTCTCCTGCAGCCAGGGGATGGAGTGGGGGGCGAGCTGCCAGCAGGTCCTGATCTGCAGGGGACCCCGGTGCTTCCCTCCATGGTGGTGGCACCCCTGGGACTTTCTGGGTAGGGTGCAAGCGGATGGGTGCTGCCCAGTGGGCACCGCTGCCGTGGAGGAAAGCATTGGGATCCTCTGCAGGTTGGGGGCTGCATGACATGCTGGCAGCTTGCTCCCCAGCCATGGGAGATGCAGGCAGGCTCCAGGGGAAAAAAAAAAAGATCAGGGTCCTCACCACATTTTTGGTTTGTTTATTTTTTTCTCGGTGGATCCTGCCCACATGATCTGCTTCTGGGTCATGCAGCCTTTTAGCTGGGGGGGGGGGGGGGGGGGGGTCCCCCCTCCTTAGTGGCAGTGTCCCTAGAGCTGCCCAGGCAGGGTGCTAGATGCACAGATACATCCCTAGCTCACAGGCAACACCCACCATATCCAACAGTGCATGGGGCACTGGAAGCCTGGGTGTGCTTGGGGAAGCTTGGGCTTGGTGGACTTCCAGTGCCCCGTGCAACATCCCTGCCACCTTCCCTCCACCTGGGACCACCCAGGAATGGGCTGGATGTCCCAGGAAGGCAGCAGGAGGGTGTCTGGGTGTGCTGCCAGCCAGAAGAGATGGTGGGAAAGGGGCACTGGAAGCCCACCAAGCCTGAGCTTCCCCAAGCACGCCCAGGCTTGCAGTGCCCCATGCACCCTCCCTGCCACCTTCTCTGCATAGGGCAATTGTACACGTGAGTAATATCGCTATAATTTGTTGCATAGCAAACTAGAATACATGGGATGTCTTTTAGTTTTCTATGTAAAAAGTCATTTAAATTGAAATACGCCACTGAACATATACACTGTTATGAAATTTTAATCGTAACATGCCGCCAAATGCGTACACTGTTACTCAATTAAACCATTAAAAAGGACAAATAAACCACTAAAAGGGGCAATTTCCTCACATGTTCAAGGGCCCTTAGTCACATACAAGGGCCCTCTTATTCTATGACTATAAACAAGTCACAAGGTCAGACAAAATATGTACTTGTATTCCTAAGCCTGTGTTTACACACAGACACCTTTATGTAGCCTTTTCAAGAGTAAGAAGTTTTGATTCCATTAAAGTATTCAGTCAGAGGATAACTAGAAATCCTGGATTTAAAGAAATTCTTTTGCAATAAAAATGTAATCACAAATGTTTTGCAGGTTTCAGCAAGTGTGTGTGTGTTAGTGGTGTTTTACTTTAATTGCGGGAAAATGTGGATGGGAGGTTTAAATCAGAAAATTTGGGATTTTTTTAATCAGAGAAAACTAGGATCCCTGGTTATGACTATAAACACCAACTGCTGCTTCAAACTCCATGTTCTCCTTTGCCAGCAGATCATTATTGTGGCCGTTCTTCATCTTTCTTCTCTCTCCTCTGCCTCCCTTCCTCTTTCTTTGGCCTCTTCATCTTCCTCTTTGTCCTTATCAGCAGGGTTGCCAACCCAAGGAATTTTTTCTTAGCTTTAATTAATATCCAACTTTTTTTTTTACTGATGTGTCTTTTTATTGATAATGTAAATGTCACTTTTCTGCTAGGCCCTGCCCTGCCTCAAGGTCCCAGTTAGAAAGCCTGGGTTCATTTTTAGGGGTTTAACATCAACCATAGTAAAAATCTTTGGTTGTCAATAGAAAATTTGCAGTGAAAAAATATGCCTTGGGTTGGCAATCTTGTTTGACTTCAGCAATGCTTTTACACTGTTCTGCCACCCATGTCCCTCCCCACCCAGGGCCCCCTACCCACCTTCACACCCTGATGCCCTGCACCATGCTGCTCCTCCAGCCCAACCCTCAAACTTACCCCCACTGGCCCCACTCTTCCTATCCCACCATGGACTCCCAAAGAAGCCTACCTGTGGTATATTGAGTCTGGGACACACAAGGAGTGGCACATAGCCAAGAGAACACTACAGTCCCTCTCAGACACCAGTGACATAGCTGTGCTCTTTCTGTTGGCACTTCAATCAAGCTGTGGCAGCTTAGTGTTTTTATACTTCTTTCTCTTCCTGCTTTTGTATTTTTATCTTTTTCTCCTTGCCTCTTCAGTGTCTTTCCCTTCTCCATTCCTGTCTTGCCTCTTCTTCTGGCAGAATCCTCCTGAACCTCTGGGCTAGTGACAGAAGTTACACATAAACCAATTCAAGTGATCAGGAACCAGTTTAAACCTGTAACAGAACAGAAGTTCAATGCACATAAACCAGTTTCAAAATGGCTGAAACGCATTTAAGATAAACGTGGTTGAATATAGTATCCTATTTAACTGATGTAGCTCAAACCAGTACATGGAACTTCTGTCCCAGACCCACTCCTGATTCAACTTAACTCACAGTCCTCCTATCCCTGGAGGCTGTTCAGCCCTGGGCTGTGCCCTCTACTCCAATGGAGCAGGGCTGGCTGCATCCCCAGCTGCCAACAGGGACTTCTTCATTCCTGGAAGCCAGGAGCCCGATCACTGGACCATTCCCGCTGCTCAGCCAACAGGCCAGCTGAGAAGGGAGTGGGAGGAAAAACAGCCATGCTGAGGGCCTCTCCCCATGCACCTGGCACAACCCAGATGGGGTTCCAGAGATGGGTAGGGTGCCATTCGCCCTGCACTTCCTCCTCAGCTGGCCGCTGACCAAGGAGGGGGCATGGCCAGGTGATAGGCCCAATTCCTAGCTCTTGGTGCAAGGGGGAAGAGAAATGCCCCACTGGGGAGGTACCCCCTTCCCTGCTTCCACCCACACCAGAGAGACCCCAGCTGGGTGTCCAGTGCCAGGAAGAGCAGAGGGGAAGTTTCCCCCTACACCCCCTCCTCAACCAGCCTAGACTGAAGAGGGGGCATGGCTAAAGGAACCAGCTCCAGGCTTGGGGAGAAAGGATAATGCACCCTGCTGGGAGCTTCCCCCTCCCCCTGCATGGAGGACACACTGGGGCTGTAGTGTGGGGTGGAGGGGGGGGTTCCCTCCAGGCCCCCTCCTCATCCAGTCCAGACTGAGGAGGGGGCATGTCTAGAGAGAAACCAGCTCTGGGGACAGAGAGAGAAGGGGAAACACCCTGTGGCAGAGCACCTTTGATGCCTGCCACTTTAATGGCTTAGACAGAGCAGCCTGCAGGTAGTTGCATTCCCAATCGGGGGTTACATGGCCATCAGGAGGCTGCCTGATTAGGGAAAGGGCTCAGCTGCTGGCAATAAGAAAAGGCCTGAGCAGGGAAGCCAGCAGTTTGCTGCAAGCAGCTGGAGAGGGAACATCACCTGGCTGGAGCTGCTGCTCACATAACACCTTGGAGGTACAGGGCAGGAACTATGGGGATGGCAGGAGGTTCCTGGTCCTGGGGCATGACCTAAAACTACACCCTGCTAGGGATGGATAGTGTAGTGGGGCTGCTTGTGATGGGGTGGTGCCCAGGAAATGCCAAAGCAGTTACCTCCCTAGTGAAAGTCAAGTATGGGGTGTCTTATATCCCCAGCCCCCACAATCTGGTTGATAACCCAGCAGCAGGGACAGGAAGGGGGCCAGGCATGTCTACATACACCTGAGCATCATGGGGTGTGAGACCCTGTGGCCCCAGTGAAGGAGGTCTGAAAAGTGACCCCAGTGAGGGGTCACAGTGTTGGCCTTAGCAGGGGGGGCAGAATAGGAGCCCTAGTGAGGGGGTAATAGAGTGCATGGAAGGGCCATGCAGAGCAGGGTCACAAGGGCAACCTAAAGGACTGCACATGTGGATGTAGAGTAGGGTCTGCGTAGGTGGGCCTGAAGGGCTGCACAGAGTAGGGTTGCCAGTGGGTCCTGAAGGACTGCACACAGGCCAACCCCAAGAGTTGGATGAGAAGTTGAAGGCCCTAGTGAGAGGGCATAAATGGAGGCCTTAGTGAGAGGGCAGGAGGCCCAGGCACATGCGAGGATGCCTGTGGCAGAGTTACGATTTTGGATGCCATCTGCGTGGCATGGAACACTGTATAGGAGAGGTCGGAGCCATGTATAATGCCCTAGGCATTGAGGCACATAATGGGCAGTCTCCCATATTTTTATATCCGTTTTAAAACAGCAAGACATGGCAGGAGAGACAGGGCAGACTGCTGTAGAAAGGTGGGCAGACCAGCACTGTGGCCAGCCTAGTGAAATCCCCCTGTCACACACCCCACTAGGGCCTACCCTCCTTCCCCCTGCTTCCCCCGCACTGGGGAGGCCCCAGCTGGGGGTCTGGTGGGGGAATCCCCCTCATGTCCCCTTCTGAGCTAAATGGAGGCTAAAGAGGGGGGATGGCTGGGGAAATCACCTATGTCCCGGCTCAGTTCAATCTAAGCAGTTTACAGAAACCTGCAGAGATTGAATCAATTCAGCCTCAGGCTTTTTGACTGTCTGTACGTAGCCCTAGGCTTCATAGAGTGGGTTCTTCTCTGCTTCTGAGGAAATTTTACCTTCCAGATGTTTCTCAATCCCCTGAAAAATACCTGGGTTAAAATATTCTTCAGATTATTAAAAGTTGCATAGATTTTTATATTAGTAGTCAATATTATTAAATATCAAAGCAGATATCTGACATCGTTGTATAAAAACCCACTTGCTTTGCTAATAACTTCTGACCTTTTTTTATTGTCTGCCTTTCAGGTTCCGAAGAATATATGTCCAGTCTTACAATAACATTAATCTTTATAGCACTTGGAACAATCCTAGTGGTATTGTTTGTCTGTTTTCTCTGCAAAAGGTAAATCTAACTTATCAACACAGACACTTTTTTGTGTAATACGCACACATTTCGTACAAGCCAAATAACATGTTTATTTTAATATTTATTATGTTTGTTTTATGGTTTCAGTAAGACTGTGACAAGAAATAAGTTGCAAGGCAAGGCTTTTCTGGTATAAGTTTTATTGGCTCAACTGTATTTTTGAGAGAGATGTTGGACAAGCTTTTAGGCATGAGGGGCCTAATCCGTTTCTTAAGTAACTGTTTTCACTCACATCAGGAGTGTCAGACTCACCTGATCCCCCAGGCTGCATATAGACCTCAGCAAGCCTTGTGTCCTGAATCCATACCCACCTCCAATGACAAGGTTAATGCAGCTGTCACTTGTCCTTTCACTGCTAAAACATGTCCCCTGAATTCTGGGAGAAGGTGGACCCCATCACCAAATTCCCAGCCACTCCAGGAGAGCTGCAGGCTGGATAAAATAGTTGAAGGAACAGTTATCTTTGATACCTCCAATTTACATCAAATTAAACAATTGCTTTTTTCGGTTAGTTAGCTTAGCCTGTGTCTGCTTCTCTCTCAGATCTGAATAAGGGCACTTTATTTCCAAGCACTTATCCAACATCTCTCCTAACTATGTGGTTAATCCAATAAAAGCTATTCCAAAAAAACAAAAATTGCCTCTCTCAAACTTCCTGGACAATCATGTCCACAACAAAACTCCAACCCTACTCACAAAAAAACAAGATAGTTGGGTAGTGTTGTTGAAGCCTACAGGTAAAAGGTCTACCTGTGAGATGCATAGAAGCATTACTTCATAATTAATAATCAATAACAAATAATTAAAAAGAGTATTAATTTTACAGCTTTGTTCTCCTGGGTGGCTATTGGCTCTATTGTAAAATAAATATACAATTCTAATATCCTGGCTTGTTAGCATTTTCCATATACTTTGCACCAGTGGCACAGGGGCCAAAAGGCCATCTTGGCTTAATAGAGAAGTCGCAGATCTTCTGAAAAAGAAAAGGGAGACTTACCAATGATGGAAGCTAGAAGTAGGCCCCATGGAGAACTGTATAAGATTGGCCCATGCCTGTAGGGGGCAGATTAGAAAAGCAAAGTTGGTGACCAAATTCAAGTTAGCAACCAAAATTAAGGACAATGAGAAGTCCTTCTATAGGTACGTAGATAACAGGAGGATAACCAGTGGAAACATGGAACCACTTCCCAGTGCATCTGGTTCACCAACACCAAGGAGAAAACTGAATTCCTGAGTGAGTACTTCACATCTGTATTCCACCACTCTAAGAGTGATAGCCTACCAAATGCAAATATGACACAGAATACAGGCAGTCCTCAGATTTACGATGCAATTGGTTCCTGAAAACCATGTCTGAAGTTGAAATGTCATAACTCGGAACCAATTTTCCCATAGGAACAGTGCTACAAATGGGGGATTGGTTCCTTTACAACAGTTGATACTGCATGCAGATGGTAAGTGGTGGGGGGGAGGGGGAAGGGAAGGGGCTTGGGGGTGCAGATCAATGCACTCCACAGTGAGGGAGGGGCTGGGGCTGGGGCTGGAATTGGGGCTCGGGCAAGTGCTGCCCAGCCGGGGCCAGGTGGGTGCGGGGTGAGGGCGGTGGTTCCCATTGCTGCACACTGCTCGTCTGGCATTTCTTCCAACAGTTCCCGCCACTGCTCCTGCCACTGATCCAGCAGGACATGGGGGGGGTGGTATGTGCCCCCAAATTTGCATGGGGTGAGGCAGGTGGGGCCAGGGCTGCATTGGGCTGTGCTCTGGGTGGACAGTGGGCGCTATGATAAATTTTCAGATGGCTGCAGCACCCCACCTTCCCTTCCCCCTCCCCTTCCACCGCTTACCAGCTTCACGCAGTATCGACCATTGTAAAGATGAAACTCAAGTTGGAACAGCAAAACAGGGTGTCAATTTATAAACATCATAAGTGACATTCATCACAATTCGAAGTTGTAAGTCGATGTAGAGCTGATGAGAGAACAGCTAGAGAGGCTGGCTATCTGTAAATCAGCAGGACCAGATGAACTCCATCTGAAAGTGCTGAACGACCTAGCCGAAGTCATCGCAGGACCACTGGTGAACCTCTTTGAGAATTCATGGTGCTTAGGACAGGTCTCAGACTGGAAGAGAGCCAATGTTGTATCCATCTTCAAGGAGAAGAGAGAGGACCCAGGGAACTACAGGTTTATTTAGCCTGACCTCAGTCCTCAAAAAATGTCTCAAGGAGTCCATATCCGATAAGCTAGTAGAAGGCAAAATTCTGAATGACAGCCAGTGTGGTTTTGTCATGGGTTAACCTCATCTCCTTTTATGACCAAGTTACTCACCAACTAGATAAGGGAGATGAGGTTGATGTCATTTACCTGGACTTTAGGAAGGCCTTTAACTTGGTGTCCCATTAGTCTATCAAGGTAAAACTAGAGAACTATGGGCTCAACAATTCAATGGTCAGATGGGTGGGAAACTGGCAGAGGTTGGACCCAGAGAGTACTAATAGATGGATCTGTGTTGGCCTAGTGGAAGGTAGCCAGTGGGGTCCCCCCAGGGTTTGGTACTTGGACCAGTGCTTTTCAACATCTTCATCAATGAGCTGGATGTAAGGATGAAAAGCACATGGTCAAAGTTTGCCAATGACACTAAGCTGCAGGGAAGTGTGGCCACGCATCAGGGTAGGCTGATGATCCAGGTGGACCTAGACAGATTAGTCAGATGGGTGGACCAGAACCAGGTGCTATTCAACTCTGAGAAGTGTAAAGTGTTCCATCTGGGAAGGAAAAATCCTCAACAACCTTACAGGCTCTGTGCTGCTACACTAGCTAGCACCATGTCCAAAAGGGACCTGGGGGTCATAATTGATCATAAAATGAATATGAGCCACCAGTGTGATGCTGCAGTTAATAAAGCAAACAATACACTGGCATGCATCAACCAGTGCATCTCAAGCAAACATAAGGAAGTTATTCTCTCACTCTACTCAGAATTGGTGAGGCTGTAGCTAGAGTATTGCATCCAGGTCTGGGCACCACACTTCAAGAAGGATGTGGAGAAGCTTGAGAGAGTCTAGAGAAGACCCACTCGTATGCCTGATGAGCAAGCCATATGAGGAAAGGTTGGCAGATATGGGACTCTTCAGCCTAGGAAAGAGAAGATTTTGGGTGGATCTGGTGGCAGCTTACAAATATATCAGGGGTGAATATCAGAGGCTAGTCAAACAAGAATTCACCAAAGCACCCAAGAGGAAAACCAGGAGCAATGGTCATAAACTCCTAGAAGAAGGTTTCAGACTGGATATAAGAAAAAACTTCTTCACGGTTTGTGTGACCAGACTCTGGAATAGACCCCAGATCTACTGGGTCGTATAAACATTATACGGGGGTGGTGAAGGCCTAGAGATCTTCAAAAGGAGACTGGACACACATCTTGCTGGGGTTATTTGAACTCAACAGTCTTTCCTACCCAGAGCAGGGGGCTGGACCCAGTGATCTCACAAGGTGCTTTCTAGCCCTAAACATATGTGAATGGTTTCTTTATTCTAGTTAAGATCCTCAGGTAAATTACAATATCTTAAAATAATTCAACATCACATTTTAGTTATGCATTGTTTCCTTTGATTGTAACAGAGAAAAATAAGATCTCTCTCTCCGACATACAATAGAAGACCAAATATTTAAACACATTCTGTGCTGAATCTGTTCTTTTCATCACTATTCCTTTTTGTTCCCTTAGGTACTGTAATTTGAAGAAAATATTTTCTCCAGTACCACAACCAAGAAATAAATTTAACATTCTTTTACTTGATGAACAACCTATGCAGGTACAGTTTTTCCATTTGCATGGTATTTGCTGAATCTATCACATCATGGAAGAAATGGCAGAGTTTTCAATTCATAAACGTCAGGGTAGCTGGTCTTTAATTCTTTTTTGCTACTTTGCTGTGGTATGTACCGATAAACCAATTATCTTTAGCCACAAATTAAAGGTGGAATTAAGATTTTAGGTAGATAGGTAACTTTTTGCCAGTTCTCCCAAGCTGACTTATGTCTCAGGGTAAAACAAACATCACCTGATGTATCATTTGTGCCACCATAATTTTTATGGTGGCACAAATGCTGAGCATATAGACATGACTACCCTTTTTGTGATGCATCAGAAATGAGACAAAAGGTTCTAATAAATTATGCTACTGCCAGTACTCTCTCACCACCCCAAGCAAGTGCTCTGGGGGCTTGAGGGGCCCAGTCTTGTGAACCCAGGTAGGATTCAGCCCCAGATCCAGCCCTTGCCTCACTTTCTCCTCTTAAAGAGATGTGCCTCAGGGGTGCATCTCCATAAGTGAAGAAAGCCCATGTGTATCTGGGCATGGAGGCATGGGACCTGGGGTGCCTCTTCACTGGGACTTGTGCTAGCCTATGCTTACACATGAGGCATGGGTCAGTTCAGGACTAAAGGTGGAGCAGCAAGAGATCCAGGGAATCCCTTATCAAAGAGAATATATCACCCTTTGTTCTGCATCGGTCATGGGGCTGATGTGGGACAATGGGCAACATGCGTGTCACCCAAAGCAGATCAGCTGTGGAAGGACATGTCATCTGTAGCTGATCTGCTACATTTTGGTAACCTCCCTTTCTACCTTTAAAGAAACTCAGAATGATGGAACAATCAACACTTGTAATCTGTGGATACTGACTACATAGTACAAGGAATCCAACTCTTATAAATCTAAACATGAGACAAGGGCAAAAATATAAAGAACAGTATTTGGCCAAGACTCCTGTGCTCTATTTTCATTATATTCTTATTCTACAGCAGGGGTAGGCAATGTTTTTTTGCCAGAGTGCCGAAAAACCCCACAATGCCTACCTTGGAAGGTGCCAGAGTGCTGGCATGTGAGGAAAATACAAAATGAGGGCAGGGGGTACATGACAGGATGCCCTGCTGCCCCTGGCCTGCCAGCTCAAGCTCTGTGGCTGTGAGCAGCTACCCAGAACTTGGGCCAGCTGCAAACATCTGCTGCCTCTCTGTCCCGGCCCTGGGCTCCAGGAAGGCAGGACATACTGGCAATGCTCCCCACTGTGCTGCCCTAGCTGCTTCTGCAAAGCAGCTTTGGAATCTGGCATGGCAGGGCACAACAGGGGCGCAGAAAGCTGCCTGCTCCAAGCTCTCTGCTGCCCTGCCACACTTCTGTATGTACGGGAGCAGTGTGGGCAGCAGTGCTGGGTTGTGCCTCTCGCTGCTGCCCCTGCCTGCTGGGGAAACGTGGCAGAGGAGCTCGGAGCAGGCAGCTTTATGCACCCCACGATGTGTCCTGCCACGCCAGGTTCCCACACTGCTTTGCAAAAGCAGTGAGGGCAGCACAGCAGGGAACACTGCCGGTATGTGCTGCCTCCCCAGAGCCTGGGACCAGGGCTGGGGCTGGGAGACAGCTGGAGCCAGGGTGGAGAGGCAGCAGATGTTTGCAGCTGGCCCAGGTTCTGGGTAGCTGCTGATAGCCACGGCGCCCAGGCTGCTTGCAGCAGGGCTTCCATGGGAGCAGTCTGGGCTCTGTGGCTATCAGCAGCTAACCCGAACTCGGGGCCACAGTTGCAACCAGGAGGCTACAAACAGCTGCTGCCCTCCCGCCCGGGCCCTAGCTGCTTCCCAGCCATGGGTTCTGGGAAGGCAGCAGGTGCTGGCACTATACCCGTTGGGGCCGGGGCAGCAGCTGTTTGTAGCCTCCCAGCTGCAGCTGGCCCCACGGAGCCCGGGCTGCTCCCAGCAGGGCTTGCAGCATCCCAGATGCCTGCTGGGGACAGCCCAGGCTCCTGGCTGGCAGC